GTGCTAGCCTCACTAAAACACAAGGCAGTCTAAATTCTTGCTCTGGCCCTCCCTGCCACTCTGCCCAAAGGAAAAAAAAATAGGGGAAGGGGGGGCAAGTGAGCTCAGCTCGAGAAGATGGAAAATGGGACCTTGGTATGTCTTCTTAATTTCATTGATTAACCTAGCACCCTGCTGGTAGGTTCCACACGGTCCCAGAACTTCTGAAGGAAGTTTGCTATCCCTAGTAATCACCACCTGCTCCTTCAGGAAATAGCATGTCCCAGTTATACTTTGGAGAATTCAAGCACTAGCGGGCACATAGGCTTGAGGATGTCCTTGGTGTGAAAGCTTTGTGTAGCTGTATTTCTGTGATAAGGCTTCAAATGGATTTTTCCAAGCAGCTTTACTCAGTATTCTAAGTATGACCTTTTCCAGCAAATGCCTGACTGAAGGTTTAAAAAAAACCATTCCTTGGGCAAGCTGTTAATTATTTAAAACATCAACAACCTTTTTCTTCTGATACCCTTTAAATCCTCCCACAATGCAGCTGTGCTAACTTGATGGCATAGATGTGTCTCTAAAAAGTGATGTGGAAATCAAGTCATATTTTAGATGTACTGGGAGATTTTGATGCTGTGAGCCTTTTTGTAAAGTGAATCATATTTTGCATACATTGAGTTTTCATAGATTCATTTGCTACCTGTTTATGCCTTGTAAAGTGACTCAATCTGACCTTGTGACTCAAGTTTTCTTTTCATGACTGTGATTAAAGGATGTTTAAAATGCAGCAGATTACTACCTCAGGGGGGAAAAACATTCCTTCTGTTTGGATGGCATCTATTATTATTACCCTTATATATTCTTAACTTTTATAAATCCACAATTTAGTAGTTATTCATGGACATTGTGATGGCAGCATGGTTTAGACATTAGAGAACTGGGCTTGAAGTCAGGAAGCACTGGGTTGGGAACCTGCCTCTGATACTAGCTATGTGATCTTGGTCGAGTCATTTAACTTTCATATGGGGTGGGTTATTCTCTAGAACTTGTGTATTAGAGGAAGAATAATATTAGGAACAGCCAGGTAAAGAAATTCCCTCTATCAATGCATGTCACCACTTTCTCTGCAAAGTGTATTTTTAGAGAGTTGCCCAGAGTACTAAGATATCAAGGAACTTGAGGCCGTTAGGTGGCACAATGGATAGAGCACTGGCCCTTGAGTCAGGAGGCTCTGAGTTCAAATCTGGCCTCAGATACTTACTAGCTATGACTTTTGCAAGTCACTTAACCACCTCCCCCCACCCCAAAAATAAAAAAAAGATGTCAAGGAACTTCCCCCTGAATCACAGAACCAGTATATGTCAGAGGTTCACCATAAACTGAGGTCTGGCTAACTCTCTATCCACTATGCTGTATTACTTCTCTCTCTCCACATAAACAGTGGGAAAAAAAGTCTAAAATTCTTTATGAACTCTGAGCATCAAGACTTGTCATTAAAAATCTTGCCTTGCTTAAGGGCAGAAAAGAGATTTTAAATATTGTTATTTACTAATAACATTTCCCATTTGACTACCTCTCTACCAGAATACTCAATAAAGTAGAAATAGGAAAAGTTCTGACTCTAATGTCAACATATTAATGAACAAGAGTAATCCATTTAGGGTAACCAAGAGAAGCAGCAAGATAAAATAGCATTCCGGTCTTCCAGTGGAACTAGATTACATTCCATTATTCATTACAATTATTGAAATAATATACCATCTGTCCCAACATTTTGCTACTATTGAAAAAAATGACAACCCCAAAACTACTGGCTCTGAAACTAATGTTCTTTAGGCTTTTAAGATTCTCTGTGCACTTGTGGTGGCTATTTCAAAGTAGAGGAAAACGTATTTTTCTTGGTCTTCTCAAAGTTGGGTGTAGGGGATAATAAACATTCATGTCCTATATTTTTTATAATGTTTTCAACTCTATTGAATATTTTCACATCTATGACCTCACATGGTCCTCACAAGAAAGCTGTGAGGTTGATATGGTAGACCGTAGCATCCCTACTTTAGAAGTGAGGAAAGTGCAGCTCAGGGAGGATAAGGGACTTAACCCAAGATCCTCAGTTTATTAGAGACTGAACCAGGACTAAAACCCAGGTCTTCTAATTGTAAGGTGGAGGGGCCATTGATTATTACTTTCTCCTCCACTTAAAAGTTTTGTTGTTGTTCAGCTGTGTCCACCTCTTCATGAACCCATTTGAGGTTTTCTTGGCAAAGATACTGCAGTGGTTTGCCACTTCCTTCTCCAGCTCATCTGAGAGATGAAGACACTGAGGCAAATAGGGTCAAGTGACTTGCCTAGGGTCACATAGCTAGTAAATATGTGAAGCCAGATTTGAACTCAGAAAGATGAGTCTTCCTGACTCCAGGCCTGGTACTCTATCCACTGTGCCACCCTAGCTGCCCTACACTTAAAAGTAATTACTTCTTACATAAGGATACCTTGTTTCAATCAGTCAGAGATAGATATAAAAAATGCCTGGATACCTCTTTAAACCAAAGGCAGTTCAATTAGGTGCAGCAAGAATACTATTCTGATTGGCTGATAGGGCTTGGCCCCAGCCTTAGGAGCTTATTTGAATAGCAAGAACTAGTTTAGTACTACTGAGAGATTTTGAGAATCTAGTGAATAGGAAGGCAGAAAGACACTAGGAACTGAGCTAAAAAGAACTGACAGCACAACAGGCGAAAGGAGAAAGGGAAAGTAGGATTGGACTGTGGCAGAGAAAGGAGAGATTGAGGAAAGACAGCAATCCTACAGGGATCTTGGAGCAAAAGATTCGGTCAATCAATAAACATTTATTAAGCCTACTATGTATCATGCACTGTGTGGAGGTACTAAGGATTTTAGTTGGAACTTTAAGAAAGTCAGGGAGGTCGGTACCAGTAGAAGAAGGAGAGTATCCCAGACAAGAGGGACAGGCAGAGAAAATGCCCAGAACTAAGAAACGGAGTGTCTTGTTCACGGAACAGCCAGAAGTCCAGTGTCACTGCACTGAAGAGTACAAGTTGGGGACTGAAGTGTAAGAAGACTGGAAAGGTAGGAGAGGGCTGAATTATGAAAGGTTTTGAATGCCAAACAAAACATTTTGTATTTGATTGTAGGGGCAATAGGAAGTCACTAGAGTTTATTGAGTGTGTGTGTGTGTGTGTGTGTGTGTGTGTGTGTGTCATGATTGAACCTGTGCTTTAGGGAAATCATTTTAGAGGCTAAGTGGAGGATGGATTGGAGTGGGGAAAGACTTGAGGCAGGCAGACTCACCTGTAGGCTATTGCAAGGTGTGAGGTGATGACGACTTGCACTAGGGTGGTGGCAGTGTCAGAAGAGAGAATGGGGTGTATTTGAGAGATGTTGCAAAGGAAAAATCAATAGGCCTTGGTAATAGCTTTATTCATCCTGACGCCATCAGATGAGCCCACCTGAGGGAAATTCCAAGAAAAGGGATGCTCTTTCCCCAGTCCTCTGATTTAGTGCTTGTCTATTTACAGACATAGTAACATACTCTGCTGCTTCTTCTCAAATGTTTCTTGTAACCTGAATTTTGACTCCATCACAAAGAGGCCAGGTGTTAGCTGGTGTCAATTATTCAGTCAACAAATATTTATGATGCGCTTGCTATGTGCCAGGGACTGTGCTAAGCAATGGCAATACAAAGAAAGGCAAAAGACAGTCCCTGCTCTCAAGGAGCTCATAGTCTTATGGGGAAGACAACAAAAGTTATGTACAAACATGTAGAGTCAACTGAAGATAATCTTGAGAAAGTCACTAAGATTAAAGAAGGCTGTGAAAGGCTTCTTGTGGAAGGTTAGACTAGCTGAGACGTGAAGGAAGCCAGGAGAAGGAAATGAGGGAGAGAATTCCAACACCAGTGAAAATGCCCAGAATCAGGAATAGAGTGTCATGTGCAAGGAATGTCACAAGGAGGCTGGTGTCATTAGACTACAGAATATATGGGGATTGGGAGGGAGGAGGTATAAGAAGACTGGAAAAATAAGAAGGGACCAGTTTATGAAGGGCTTTAAAAGCCAAACAGAAGATTTTTTAATTAGAGGTAACTAGATGTAACTGGGAGCCACTGGAGTTTATTGAATGGGAATGGTGAGATGGTCAGACTTGGGAAGATGAATTTGACAGCTGAGTGGGAGGATGGATTGGGGTGGGGAGAGACTTGAGGGTGGGAGATCAACCATCAGGTTACTGCAGTTGTCCAGGAATGAGGTGATGAGAGCCTTCACCAGAATGATGGCAATGCCTGAGAACAAAAGGAGATGCAAACAAAGGTAAAAACAACAGGACTTGCTAACTGATTTGATATGAGAAGTGAGAGGGAATAAGGAGTTGTGGATGATATCTAGGTTTTGAGCCTAGGTGAATGTGAGCATGGTGGCATCCTCCATAGCCATAGAGAATTTAGGAAGAGGGGAGGGTTTTGGGGGAAAGATAATGAGTTTAATTTTGAACATGTTGAATTTAAGATATGTATGAGATATCTAGTTAGAGATGTCCAATAGTCAATTGGAGATTTAAGACCTTGGAGGCTTGGAGAAAGTTTAGGGCTAGGGAAATAGATCTGAGAATCCTCTATAGAGGTCATAGTTGAATCCATGGGAGCTGATGAGATCACCAAAGGAAATTGTTTAGAGGAAAAAGAAAAGAGGCCTGAAACAGAGCCTTGGGCAATGCCCTTGATTAGTGGTGTGATCTGACTGAAGATCCAGCCAAAGAAACTGAAGAATAGTCAAACAGGAGAATCCAGAGGGAGCGGTGTCTTGAAATCCTTGAGAAAAGAGAGTATCAAGGAGAAAAGAATGATCAACAGCGTCAAAGGTGGCATGGTCTTCATTGTTAAAATGGAAAAATAAGACTTTTACTAGCTACTTAAGAGGATCAGCTCAAATTAAGTAGTATATGTGAATTGCTTTGTAGACCATTTACATTCTTTACAACTCTCATTCTATGTCACTTACCAATGTAAGCTGCTCCGTCAGTTACCATATATTTATTTCTATTTAACTTGGGAAAGGAATTGTTCTTTTGTTCTTTTGCAGAGCAGGCACTCTCTCTTTCTAAATCAAAGAACTTCTGCAAAAGTAAGAAAGATAAGGCAAATGAATACAAATGAACAGGGAATAGTTTTTGTTTCCATTCAATAGGAAACAAGTAATACACTGTAGAATATTACCAAGAGACCTTGGACATAGGTTTAAACACATTTTTGTTTTATACAAACTGCCCGCACGCTTGTATTTCTTCCTATCGATTTATCTGGGTAACCAAAGGAGAAAGCTAACATTCATCATCTCATACTATAATTTATAATTTTAAGAAATAAAATGAACATGAAATCTGTCCTTTCGATGAGGTGAGGGCCAGGAAGATTATTTACCTCTCAGCATTATTCATCAAGGCATAGTGGGATTAAGTCAGCCTCGGGATATACTGGCTGCCAAGCAATGAACTGAATGAATATTCTTATATGTTGCATAAGTTATGAGAAGTGATATTCCCATCGTAATGATTCCACTTGTTTAAATGTGAGACTCAAAGAGGTCATGGTATTCTGTGCAAAGGAATGAGAGTTTTCATTCTGAAAAATGTGCCTAGAAGGTTTAGTTTTAACAAGCTCCCCGAGAACTATAATTTCAAATCAAAGTAGCTCTATTTTCTCCTCTGTCTCCCCCAAAGAGTTTTGACCCACTCTGACAGGTATCAAATACCTAGGGACTGTGTTTTAGAGGGAAAGAGGCAGTATGGCAATGCAGAAATAGCACTCAACTTGGAGTTAGGAAGAACTGAGTTTGAATTTCAACTTTCACATTTAGTAACTATGATTTTAGGCAACCCACTGACTCTGTGTCCTCTGAACCCAGGTCCTCTGACTCTCAAGCCAATGCTTCTACTTGACCCTGCTGCCTCTAAAAACACACACACCTTTATGTATGTGTGTGTGTGTGTGTGTGTGTGTGTGTGTGTGTGTGTATATATATGTATATATGTGTGTGTATATATATATTTGTAGTTATAATATTAAAATGATAAAATCATATTATTGGGGTAGGTGAAGTCATTTTTCAGTGCAGTTTCTCAGAATGCAATGTCATTGATAACATTGCTGCTTGGAATCTTTTTCAAGAGCTAAGATTGATATTTTGTCTTTAAAACAAAACCCTGTTTCACAGAAATAAGATGTTATATACAATAGTAAAATTTATATTAGTTTGATAAATCTGTGAAGTCTTCACTTATAATGAAAGTAGAAAAAGATGTTTATGTTCAAACATTTCAATTTTAGTGTATCAATCAAATGATGAGCCTAGGCCATTCTTGTTAAAATGGACTAAGGCCAAATATATCATTTGTTCATAGCAAATTTATCGATTTATATTTTAAAAAATCTTTAAAATGCGCACGTCTTTTGTCAAGTGCATAATAAATAGCTCTTTACTTCTTCCATTTCATTTGTAGCACAAAGTATTCTTAAAATTGGGAAATTTGAAAAATGTTTTATAAATTATTATCCATAGATCTAAATTCTCATAAATGCAATTATGTTATCTTTATCTGAGGACCTTTTATTTATTCAGTTTTTCAGATATATTCACCAAATTGGAAAGTTTCAAGAGGAAATTTTTATTATAAAATAAATTTGCTTAATTTTTATTATCATTAAGAAAAATGACAATTTCTTCTTTTAGCTCAAAAGTCCTTTGAAGTACTTTATGAGAAAACCAGCAGGTTTCACAATGATATGGAAGTCCACTATGTTCTGCTTCAATACTGTCACACAATTTTATAATTTACTTTTTCATGTAGTACTTTTTATAACGTTGACTATTTTAACAGCTTGAAAAACTCCATGACCCAGAATCCTAACTTGTCCTTCTTGATTTAAATGACTTCGCAAAGCATGTAATTGTATCTAAATTGCATGAGGAGTCAGGTCACATTTTAAACTACTATTTGTAGATCTGTATTTTATCCTGAAACCACCTGAGCTCCTTCAGTGCAAAGTACAATGAAATATTCCCACATCATATAATTTTTTTTATTAAAAAATTCATTAATTGAAAAATTTTCTTGATGTGGAATTGTGACAACTATGTTTCAAAGAATTGACTCTTCACTGAATCAATGGCATCAATAAACCCTGCAATGTAATAAAATGAACATTTAACAATATCTCTTGTTTAATCCATTTGCAAGGAAAAAAATTAGTTTCTCAATGAATAGATTGCAAAGGTCTACAGACATATGGACAAATCTCCTTCCCACCATATTAACTATATATGGAACCATTCAAAACTACTTTGTATATAGTTGTTATAAATCATTTTGACTATCTCTGTAGTTGCAGTTGCAGGTAGCACCAATGTTTCTCTTACCAAACAAGGCTGTTTACATGAAGCAATTCTGTAAGCAAACATACAATACAAGAAGTCTTTTTGTGGTAACATATGTGACTGTTGAAAAAGTTGTTTTTGCAACTAATTTTCTCCAGAAAACTTCTCTTGTCTTGTGCTATCTGCAGCCAAAATATTTTTAAAGACAAATGCAGCTATCTCTTTCTATTAAGGACCTCTGAGCCTTGCTTTCCTTCCCATTGTTGAACAGTTAAGATACCTGGGCATTTTTATCGACCCTGCAACTAAAGTTTCTTTTATGTGTTGCCTTCACCAATTAGAATTTGAGATCCATGAGGACAGGGGCTGCCTCGGTTTTTCTATTTTTATCCCTAGTGCTTTGCACAATGCTTAGCACATATGAAGAGCTTAATGAATTCCTATTCATTCATTCAAAAGATAAATATTTTCTAGACTTGGTCTTTTTTTTTTTTGGTTTCTATATTTCTGCCACTTAAACTATCTCTGTCTTCCTTGTACTAGTTTTAAATGTAGATTAATAATTGAAAAAGACATTCAATTTTGAAATTATTATTATTATTATTTTTTGGTGAGACAGTTGGGGTTAAGTGCTCATAGCCACTAGTAAGCTAGTAAGTGTCAAGTATCTGAGGCCGGATTTGAACTCTGGTCCTCCTGACTCCAGGGTTGGTTCTGTGCCACCAACTGCCCTATTATTATTTTTTTAAAGACTGAGTCCCCATATATTGGCCAAACTGGAAATTTAGGTACTATTCACAAGGTCCTACCTATGCCACTCCTAATTGACATGTGAATTTTGACCTGCTCCATTTCTGACCAAGGCAGGTTTATTTCTCATTTGACAGCATGGTGGACCTCTACTCTGAAGGCTCAATATATTTATGCTAAATTTAATATGGACACTGGATCAGCATAGCCACTGCAGCTAGAACTCCTGAGCTCAAGAGATATGCCAGCTCCAGCCTCCCAAAAACAGGCATTCCAGGCTTGTGCTACCACACCGGCTTAAATTTAAATTAAATTTTAGAAAATTTTAATTGAGAATCTGTGTGACTGTTCTCAAGATATTTCAATTTTTTTTTAAGTTGAAGTTTTTTTGAAAACTAGCTTATAATGTATTTACTGATGTGAATGAAGTTGATAAATACAGCAGATTTTATGGTCATTTTAACTTTTGCACAGAAATTATTCAATTTCAATTTTATATCCTTTACATTCAAAAGCAGCACGCAGTGCTATAGCATAATTCACCTGTTTGTAAGTCTACCCCAACTCATGACTGATAATGATAGTAGTAGATTATTCCTGCATTGATATTTGACACACTCATATTTGACCATTTTAACTCATTGATTACTTATATTTAATCTTGTTTTTACATACCTTATTAAATAATTACTGTGTAACATTCATTGTCAATTGGCATGAATTTGCTGTGTTAACCTTGTACTTATTAACTTTGATTGAACCTCAATAGCCAATAATTTTAGTTGTTGCTTAGTATCTCCCTACTACCTTGGGAAACTCTGTCTTAGGAAATGGTCTCCATGACTTGATGTATCTAAAAAAGCTTGTTACCTAGTGGCTAATATTTTTGTTATAAATATCCCTATATTTAACTATGCTAGTTCTCAGAGGAGACACACAGCTATTTTCTAGGTTTCCTACCCATTTTGCCTCTTTTTAAAACCTGCTAGAGCTTTGCTCTGCTGGCACAGATTTAAAAAACTTGAGATTACCTCCATGTCATTGCAGATACTCTGAAAATGCTTTAATGTGCCTCTAGTAAGATTTAATTGTCTTTCTTTATATTAGAGGTTTTACAGATTCTTTTTTCAAAACTCCCTGGAATTTGGAAAAAAAAATCAACAGTTGATGTTGGATAGCCTGTGGGAAGCCAGTCACTCTAATACACTATTTGTGTAGCTGTAAATTGGTCTAACCATTTGGGAAAAAAACAAATTGGAATCATGCAAGAAAAGTGACCAAGCTTTTCATACCTTTTGACTCAAGAATATTCCTTCTGGGTATATAGTCCAATGGAGTACATTAAAAACAACAACAAACGCCCCCCTCAAAAAAAAAAAAACCAGAAAGGTCTCACATCCAAAATATAACCATATTTTTTTTGTAGTAGCAAAGAACTAGAAAGAAAGAGGTGTCTTTCAACAACAAAGTATAGCATATGAACATAATAAAATATTACTGTCCAGTAAAGAGTGATGCATGTGAGGAATTCAAAGAAACTTGGGAAGTTTCTTATGAACTGATACAGAATGAAGTAAGCACAATTGGAAGAATAATATGCACAATGCAAATGAAGAGATCGCAAAAAGAAAGCTGAATTCTGAGTATTTGAAAAAGCAATAAAATTGCTGGAGAAAAAACATGATCCCAGTAACTTTACATAGTGTTTTCCTAGGTATACTTTATGTAGTTTTTCCAGCTTTATCTCTTTCTCTGTCACTTTCCAATTGTTCCTACCCTGGGATTTGTAAAAACCTGACTTTTATGATAGCTCTGTGAAATTTGGTTAGTATAAATTCAGCTTGCCTGGAATATTTAGGTCTGCCTAATAACCAGGCTAATACATAGCAAATACATCTTGACAAGTTTCTAAAGGTCATTTAAACACATTTCCCCTTAATTCATACTCGACTCTAAGGGCACTTTTATGACAGTACCACTAATGAATATTACCCAGAAGAATGCAACTTACACTTGATTTATTACTAAAATATTCATTCATTTGACTTATTTCCTCTTTGTAGAAAGGCATTATTAAAAAAAAAACTAGCCAACATTTTCAAAAAGTAGAAATATATGTTTTAATGAAAGTTGGGGTTGGAATGACAAAGTAGGGTCTCAGTAAGAACCTGTTTGCTCTTAAAAGTCAAATATGGCTAAGGGGAGGAGGAATAGCCTTGCATGTGAAAATGAATTCTGCTAGAACTAATAAATTCCTAGAGCAAAGACTTATTAGTCATTGAAATGTTATCATCATTTATGTTGTAGTTGACAGAAAATGGAGAGGTTTCAGGGATGATTTGTTTATTTAATTAAAATTTGGCTCTTTGGGATGGCCTTGTGAAATTCACATTCATTCATTCTTCCAATGTCCCTCCATAAAGGCAGTTTTATAGTATTACTGGATGCCACCCAACTTCAGTGTCTTCCAGTCATATCATGATAAGCTTTTCAGACACTAAAACATCCCCTCTCATTGACAAGCTCATGAGAAGAAGACATCACAAAGTTTCTTTGTCTGCCTTCATAAAAAACTTGCCCTCAGTAACCATATCAGGTATTTGGGGAAGTCACCTCCTTTTCCACTTAGTCTTGCAATCATTTCTAAAATTTATGGATTGCTTCGGTAAGGGGGTAGTTTTGTAGTTTTTGCTTTGCAAACTAGCTATTGCCAAGATAAGCTCTCAGCAATTTGCTTTAGGGTAATGAAGCCATCTGTGTTTAGAAGAGACTAAGGTAATTAAGTTGCTCGTAAAATTCAAAAAAGATTAGAAATCTTAACCAGAGGCACAGAATGTTTCTAAACAAGATGATCCACCTGATAGCTTGGCAGAAGCTGATGATGTCAAACCCTAGGTAGGAAGCAGGCTTAACATATATAGGTCATCTTCCAAGTCAAAATGAGGAGCAGGTGTACATGGTTCTCTAAGTTCCCTAAATACTCTCCTGGTTAGTGGTATCTGCCTCTTTTGCTCTATCCTGAGCCTGAATGGTGTGGCTTCCCTTATCTCTCAGTATGTGGCATTCAAATCCGACCTCAGACACTTACTAGCAACGTAACCTTGGGCGAGTCATTTAACTTGCCTGTTTCAGTTGCCACATCTGTAAAATGGAGATAATAATAGCACCTACCTCTCAAAGTTGTCATGAGGATCAAATGAGATAATTGTGAAGCACCTGGCATGTAGTAAGTGATATACAAATGTTAGCTGCTATTATTATTATTTGAGCAGCACTAATACTTTAAGTTTTCTGAAAATAGATCAAGAAGATTTTTCTAAAAAAAAAAAAAGACTTTCTTGCCTGAATGAGAGGGAATTATGAAGCTTTTTATCTATGGTTGAACCCTCTTATCAAAGGGTGATAATGGCCTATGGCTTTTAGAACCTGTACCAAGCCATTGAATTCAAAGAAAGTGAGGCCAAGCATGGCAGCAAAAGCCACTAAGTGAGAGTTGATCTTTTTCGTGTGAATTCTACCATCTCTGTCCAGGACCCTCAGCTATTAGAATGATTGTGGCCTTGCAGGTGAAAATGCATGAAAAATAAGGATGTTTTAGGTGAATGAAAAATTTTAGATAAAATGAAAGTGATGGGAGAGGCTTCTTGGTGTTGCTCAAAGACCAGGCATTAAGGATCTTGGACTCTAGCCCCAGCTTTGTTATCTCTAGATCTTCGGTGATCGACAAAGTTAGCTAATAGGTGAGGAAATATTTTGAAGAAATAAAATGTGGTACAAAGATAAGATGTGATTGTCATTTGAGAAATTAGGGCCGTGGCAGCCTATAGATTTGCACAGTGTTTTCCAGTAATAATGATCTGGCTATCAGAGTGCTGAGACGCTGGAACTGGGTTGGATGGAGTCTCAAAGATCAAGCTATCTTTATATAGGAGGAAGAATGTTGTATTAGAAAGAGCACTGACTCTGAGTTAGGAGAGACCCAAATTCACCCTGGCTCTCCCATTTATTAATTGTGTAACTCACTCTGAGTAAGTTGTGTAACTTCTGAGCCTCAGTTTACTCCTCTGTAAAATTCCTGTATTGGAGTGTGTACTTCCTATCTCATAATGCTGTTATGAGGAAAGTACTTTGTAAACAAAGGGATACAGAAACATGAGTGGTTGCTATTATTTGAAACGCAAATCCATAGTAGGGATATGTAAGTAATAGAAGTGTATCTGTTACTAGGAATTCTTACTAAGTAGTGGATAAAAGATCAATAAAGCATCTTATAGCAGCCAATATGGTGGTACGTATGGATCATATAAATAACTCCAAATTATTGTCTGATGAGAAGAAGCTGATCAGTAACTTAACAAGATCATAATTTTTAAAATATGAAAAAATATTTACAGTAGAATAGAAGATCCTTGAAGGCAGGCATAATTTTATTTTTATATTCTTTGTGGTCTACATATAGTTGGCTCTCTAATAAGTGTTCGTTGAATCATAATGATTTGAATATTCAAAGTCCAGTATTGCTTGCTGAAGTTCTTTCACCATTTAAAAAAATAATTATCACCATTTTATTCATCTTTCATTTGCATGCCGGAGCACTTCTTAGCACAGAGTAAGCCCCTATTAAATGTTTGTTGATTAATTACTAAAAATATCAGAGAATGTTAAATGAACATTCAACACATTGTGAAAAGATAAAGTAGGTCTGGTACTTACAACTTTCAAACTGCAGTTGGCAATTTCAGTGCAAATAGCTTTAAGAGATGAAACAAAGTTAAATGTGAGGGGGTCTGTTTCCTTCCAGAAACTGATGAGGAGTCGGACTTTAACTCTTCGTAAAACTAATGCTTCTCTTATTTTCCCATCCAAATCTGGCCAGTAAGTTCTGTGGAAAAACCATATTCTTTAGTTTGCTGAAAAAGCAATCTATCAAAGAAAAACTTGAACTTTGGTTAAAATGACTATTTATTTATTTTATGATATTTAAAACAGTTTTGGGAACAAGTTGATTAAAACAATTCCATAAATGAATTTATAAGTCTGTGAAACTAGATTATCTTAAACTAGATTATCAGTCTATGAAACAGATTATCTTAAATCTCCTTTTGCAGATATATCAGCTATATTTGCACCTGTGAGGCTATGTTTTTGTCCTAAGGTAGAAATGGAGTGTAATTTGTCCCCCAGAGGGCAGAACATGTTCCTTCCCCATGGATATGTCAGCCCCATACCTTGCCACCCTTTGCTGCTAGTATACTATACCAGAGGGTACAACTGCCCCCAGACTTCCATGGCCAGGATCTCATCACTTGAGTGACCTGAAGTCTACCTTCCTCTTCCAACCCTTTCTGGAGCAGTCATATTCTCTGATTAGGATTGTTCTTTGCTTTGTGGCTATTATATTTTGCCTAAATGGATATTTGTCCCGGGGTAAAAATTCCTGGTATGGCTATGGATATAATAATCAACAACACAGTAGCAGAGATATTAATAATTAGATAACTTGCCTAATATTACATGATTTGATTTCTGAGTTAGGAAGAAATAACAGAGGCCTTTTGATTTTTCACTTCAGAGTTCAATCACCGGATCTCAGTGGAGAGAACAAATAGACCTTGGGAAGCAGCAGGCATGTAGAGGAACTGGCTCCTTAATGTGTCCCTAAGTTCCAGCTCAGTTCCCTAGAGACTTTGGGAAATTTCCTCTTTGGTGAACTCAGGGAGTCTCTCTCCCACTCTCTTGTTAGATAGATATGGACGGATATACATATATATTGATATCTTACTTCCATTGGGAGAGTTAATTTACTCTGTAATATTTTCTGGTATATTCAAATATGTATAACTTCACTGATTTCTGTTTGCTATTTGCTTGGATAAAATAATTTATTCACTCTTAACTATTTGTGATGATCTTTTATGTAATTAACATTTAGTGGGAAGGGAGTCAAGCCTCTTTATTATAAATTTGAAGTATCCTTTTCCCTTTAAGGGTTCATGACCAGGAAAGTTAATTGAAACTAAAAATCATTTCCCCTATGTTAACAAAATTTAGGGGACCAGACAGATATAATTCTATTCCAGTACCCCTCTTTGAGGAGAGCAGAACAGCCAGTCTTGTAGCCCTTTTTCTATTCCCTTTCAGGCAGAAATAAAAATCTTTCTTGAAAAGAGATAGAATTGGATTTCAGATAGATTATATATTTATGCCTCCCTTCAAGCCACATTTAGACAAACGCATATAGTCATGCATGTAACCTCCATGGGCAACACACATACACTTCACATATCTATCATCTGAAAAATTCATTTTTTTTGTGAAAATGTTATTACCCTATAATAAAACTAACAGAAAATTTGCATGTACTGGATTTATTAGAAATATGAAAAATTTATATGAAGAATAAGTCACATGAAATCCTTAATCCAAGGAAATTTATTTTGGAGTTCTGTTTTCCAAGAGAAAAAGCCTATATTCCTACTCTCAAAACTTACATTTAATTTTGTAAACTTGATCTTAATTAAACTGATCATCTAATGCATTTGTGGCATCAGACTTTAGATATGCCCAGGAAGAAATGAAACCTGGGAAGGTCTAGGGCTTGGACACCTTTCTACTTATTCATGCAATGATTTTTCGAAAGGGTTTGGCATAAATTGTGTTCCTAAATTTAGTCCATGTATTTGCATGCTGAAACAATGATGAATTATTGAAAAACTTCTCTATTTGTCACACATTGATGCTCTGCGTCTCCCACAGAGGGATGGATAGTTTTGATGAGAACATTTTTTTAAAAAGTTTTTTTTCCTTTAAGTTAAAAATATCTTTATGAAAATCCAGGTTTTTATGGAAGTTGCACTGAATGACATAAAACTATCTCCCCTTTCAAGGCAAAGCTTCCAAGATTCATTCAGGGGCAGCATATCCTTTAGAAATATTTCAACAGATAATTCTAAATTTGGTGACTATCAGCTCATGCTGTGACATCCCTCACTCTTGCTCGATTTGGTCTTTTACCTACAAATAGCTCACAGGTAGGTCAGAGGGAAACACGTTGATACCTTCTGCTGAGCAAGAACCTGGCTTCCTGGAATGGTTCCACTTAGGGGGCATGCAGGTTCTTGTGGACAAATCACTGCAAATATTCCAGATTCTTATTTTACAGAACTCAAGGCAGTCACTACAGTAGTCCTGTGCTTAAGATTAGCTCTCAGTCATTTCTTCTTAAGTAATGGCATGGCCCTCATCTAACAATGATCCTAACACAGAATCTAGGCACTCACCTTTTGGTGCTTGTGTTAGAGACAGGCAGGTAATCCATTACAGCAATGAACACAAACTCCTTAGCATCGTCAATGACACTATAAATGGCATCTATGTCAAAGCTCCTATTTTTAGGGCAAAAGACTTTGGGAGAATTCTGTGAATATACAAAGATCAAATTATTGAAGTAGAAATATATGTAACTTAGAGCATTTTCCTTTTTTCAGGAGCTGACTTTTACCACATTTTGGTAATGGCTGGTTCATTTAGTTTGGCTAATCCTAGATCAGGTTTTCATTAGTTGACTCTGGAGAATGAGTTATTGTAGGTATTCGATCCCCTGAAGAACAGGTCCTACTATAAGACTCACCAGGGCTATGTGAAATGATTTTGTACAAATGGGGACGTAAAAATAGTCTTATCTATATTTTTCTTTTTCATTTTTATGTAGCCTATCTGTTGGAAGGACCAAAAAGTATATCTGTTAGGAACCTAGATGTTAAGACACATATCCCTGCTAGTCTATGTCCAGAGCCTTAACTAGGGTGAGGCAGTCAGGGCTTTCTCTATGGTGTTGATATTCAGAAGGTGCATTTTTTCCTGACATTAGTTTGAAGAGATCATCCTCCCTGAGTCTGATCACCTGGACCACATCCCTAAGAAGTGTTAAGGCAAGAACTGAGTTGAACTCAACATATCTAGTAAAAGCTGATTAGGAACTTTCCCCCCAACACATTGGACATGGAGCCTCTTCCATTTCCTCATCCTTGGGACCCACACAACAAGCTTCTTTTCTTCTCCCCTTAATCTAACAGTATCTAAGCAATTTTTCTATCCAAAAATAATTTTTTTTATGGAGTAGGCTTTTAGTGCCCTCTTTGGTTGGCATTTGGGGGCAAGAGGGTAATTATGGAATTAGCCACAAGATGTTGCACTGGCAAGAGTACAGAAGCTTTATCAGTTCCACTTATTAATTGTACCTGCTGCCCATGTTACTGTCAGGCCACAGGTCAATGTGTAGTCCCCTTGACCTCTCTGCTTTTACTTCCTGGATGGATGGATAGAAGAGATATTGCTAATATATATTTACAAGAAGTGAATGAAAAATCAAAGATAACACTAAAATTTCAAATGTGAAAAATTGGATTAGTGGAACAGGAAGAAAAACCAGTGAAAGAGAAAGAGTAGTCAGGTTAGAGGAGAGCCAGAAGGTTATGGTGTCAAAGATATGAAATGAGGAGAAAGTATTATGGCTATATCTGGCATAGTAATATTTAGGGTCAAGCCATATTGGAGGGGGGCAGTGTTCTTTTATATGAAATCTATGGTTTTCCAAAGCCTTTAATTTCATTAACAGAAGATTTCACTGCACTGGTCTCTACAAAGCACACAACAGAAACGTGGCTCTTTGGTTAATGATAATTGCTACAGTGGCCCCAGAGCCAGAGTGAGTACCACCGCTCAAACATGGGAAATGTAACTTGCAAGTTAATCAGAAAACAGGCACTCAAATTGTCTTATTAGCAATCTTTCTTATGTCCTTTTAAATTCCTTTGTATTATCCCTTAATAGCAAAGCAGAAAGAGGAAAAAAAAGAATGAAAATAACAGATACTGGTCTAAGTTAAAACATTGTAACTGGCTTTTCCCAATCAACTGTTTCCCTGGAAGCTCACTTCTAAATCAATCCAGGCACCCTGCTTCCCAGTACAGATCAATTGGACTATATCTACTATGCTAGACATCCTTGCACCAGCAGGCTTTCAGCTCACTTCCAAACATGTTTCTGATTTTAAAGAGCTCTTTTCCAGAGCATCCTTTTCAAAACATGACCGTGTTGTTTTTGGGAAAAGTAATCCAAACAGCATTTTAATGGATTTCTCTTCAGACTCACTATGTTCTACTCAGTGTCCTACCTCACAAAATATATTTTAGTCTAAATGACTTTGATGGGTGATTGATTTGGGTAATAAACAAGAAGAAATGAAATCCACCTCCTACCTAGCTTAATCAAAACAGACCTTGAGACTAGTCCTTGTCTTGGATGACAAAATACAGACTTTCAAGGACTATAAAACACTTGCAAACACAGTAGGAATGAAGTTCAATCACTATTGCTGTTGCCTAGTTTCAGCAAAAAATGTAAAAAAAATAAAACAAAATCCGTTCCTCCAAATTAAGAAAAAGGATAAAATTATATTTAGGCTGTGGTCTATTCAGGAAAATGAGAAACTGGAAAATAAGAACAAAAATAAAATTAGCCCAACCCACAGCTTCATAGGAATTTTTAGCAGAAAACATCATACTGGGAAGTTATGTTATTTTTCTGGGACTTCCAAATGTGGAGTTTTTGAGTATTTGCAATCTGTAAACTCTTGTTAGGGCCAATATCTCACTAAAACCAGAGCACAGGGAGTCATTTAAAAAAGTTTCACAAGTATACTGAATGAAAGATTCTTTCTGTTGAATCATACAGAATGTCTAATGCATTGTGGACACAACAGAAAATACTTGCTACTAATAACAGCCAAGAATTTTGATATATAAGGTACAGAGGTATTTTTCAGTAGGCTGTTCATTCATAATATCTGTAAATCTCCAAGGATATTAGCTCAGATGTCAGCAATGAACTGATTTAGTATATATATTATGATGAAAAAACCTGACAGTGAGAAACTGAAAAGAAAAAAAAAAGGAAACCTTCTATAGGAGATGAGACTTCTCATGGGGGAAGTTTGATGAGAAACAATCTTGAAATTTGTCCCATCCTGAAGGTATGGATTCTGCAGAAGCAGCCTCAGAAATCCAGGAGGTTCCTTTAATGTAGGGAGGATTCTTCTCCTAGACTTTCATTTTGCAGTAACAATGTTTTGTTCTTTTGGTGGAGAGCTTAGAATGTAAACTTATGACATTGTCTCTCAACTTTTGGTCTTCTTGTCCTGACATGTAGTTTTATTGACATATGGAACTCCCAAGATGGAAACTCTCTTTATCAATGCAGATAGGCAACTTGGAGTCTTGGACAGTTGTTCGAGGTGCTTAAAGGTTGTGACAGAGGTTTATGTCATAGAATATGTATATAAGAACATTTAGAAATTATTATTTATAGTGAAAAGTATTTTTTATCATTTATCTTGACCACATAATGTTCTAGGAGATAGCACATGGTCTCAATGGTCAAAAAAGATAGAGCTAGTATAGTATTAGGGGCAGCTAGGTGGAACAGAAAGTTGGGAAGACTCATCTATATGAGTTCAAATCTGGCCTCAGACATTACTAGCTGTGTGATTCTGAGTAAGTCACTTAACCCTGTTTGCCTCAGTTTTCTCATATGTAAAATAAGCTGGAGAAGGAGATGGTAAACCTCTCCAGTATCTTTGCCAAGAAAACCCCAAATGGGGTCATGAAGAGTCAGATGTGACTGAAAAATGACTGAACAACAAAAGTGTAGTGTGAATTCTAGTAAGATGTGGCCAGAGCAACTAGTGGTCTTTTACTATTTTGAAGACCAGCTTAGATCTAATGCCTAAAGAAAGACAACAACATTCAAACAGAAGCATTCAAACATTCTGTAGCATGTATTTAAATAACCCATTTACAATTATATGAAATAACAGCTAAGCCATATGATCAATAAATGAACATGAAGCAAAACGCTTGAGGCATAGGTCTAGATCTAAGTTAACTCTTTGTACATTCTCGTTAATAATACCATAAATTAATTAGGAACTGAGTACAGGCTTTTTGATAAGGATGTCTACTCACCGACACAAATGCTTGAGACTTTGTTTCATTCAACTGAAGTTGCAATTTTTTTTGATTGTCATACACTCCATACAACCTCTTTGACCAAGTTTGAGGCACTCTGCTCTTGTATCTTAATGAGCTATACAAGGCAAATATCCTTTGTAAATCTAGGACCAGACAGCTGCAGTTGTAAAAGATGACACCAAGTTCTTTCATCTGTGAAATTAAAATGGAAGTCATTAATAGTGTCGTTATCTTTCACAGTCTATTTGAATAAGAAATAAATTTGAACTTCATTGTTTTCTTATATCTATTATCGTTCAGGAATATGAAAATAGAAAAGATCAATATATAAATGATATGAAAATTTAAATGTGCAATGATACAAATACATAAACACAAATGATAAATTACTAAAATGCCCCTTAGATATTCAGCTACATAGACAAGAAGAGTAAGCTAAATTAAAGTCTCTATTTAGTCTTATCATTTGTGACTTGAAGCAGATAATTTTGTTCTTTTTCCTGATGTATCAGTTTTTAAAGACTAGACCAACAGCTTAAAGATTCAGGCAAGCCCTGTGTTATGCATATGAATGCTGACTTGAAGGTTTGGCAATACTCTTGTACCTAAAAGATTATAGTCATTAGAACCTCTTCTATTTGCCAACAGAGGACTTACTACCAGATTTTGTGTTGAACTCAACTGGAATTCTTGGCTTTGATAGGGGCTATAACAGAGAAATTCAATAATTATTTGAATGGAGCTATATTTAAGGTGAGGATGGCTTATGTTGAGTTATGTTTTGATTAGCATCAACTTGGATGCTGCCTGATAGAGAAAAATAGTAATACTAACCAATTGGGAGTTCAGCATGTCCAATGAAGATGAAAGTAGATGTAGATGTTCTGTCCCAAAGGCCCTGAGATCAGTCAGTTAACAAATCTTTATTAAATACCTATTATGTGCTAGGAACTATGATAGCCACTGAAGATAAAATAAAACTATGCTAGGCACTAGGACAAAAGTGACTCAGTCCCTACCTTTGAGGGCATTCTATTGAGGAAAACAACATGTGGCTGCAAAGCTATGGTGATACTCATGGAAGGAGTGAAGATCATCTGTCACACCCACTTACTTGGTTAAAAGATAAATGAAATTGTATCTGAAAGTTCTGGACTTCCACCAGTGTGCAGTTATCATAAATGAACTTTCTGTCATTGAGCTAATCCTCTTTGTCTCAGTTGGCCTTGGCCAATGGATGGGTAGAGAAAATGGCTGCTGACGAGGGCCAAGAAGTGATACCAAGAAGTGAGGAAGTGAATGTAGGCAATTCAAGCTTCATTTCTTAGACAATACCTAACTTATTATATAACTCCAACTCCTCAGAAATCTTCCTTCTACATTTCTTTAAAAAGTCATTAAGCATTTATTAAGTGCCTACTATATGCCAGATATTGTGCTAACTACTGGGGATACAAAGAAAGATTAGATAGTTTCTAGTCTCAAAGAACTCACAGTCTAATGGAGAAGATAATATGCAGACAATTGGGTACAAACAAATTATAGATGGGATAAACTGGGAAAAAAAATTGACAGGGGGAAGACATTAGAATTAAGATCAGAAAAAAGCTTCTTGGAGAAAATGTGATTTTAGCTAGGACTTGAAGGAAGCCAGGGAAGCCAGGAGGCGGAGTATTTCAGATATGGGAGACAGCCAGTGAAAATGCATGAGTCTAGAGGTGGAGTGTCTCCTCTAAGGAATAAATAAATATCAAGGAGGCTAGTTTTGCTTGATCAAAGAATACATGGGGATGAGTAAGGTATAAGAAGATAGGAAAGATAGAAAGGGACCAGGCTTTGACTGCCAGGAAGGATTTTATATATGATCCTGGAGGTGAAAGGGAGCCACTAGGGATTTACTGAATGAGGCAGGGAGTGACACACATTTTAGGAGGATTAATGTGACATCTGAGTGAAGGATGAACTGGAGTGGGGAGAGACTTGAGGCAGGGAGACCAACCAGTAGGCTATAGTAATAGTATAGGTATAAGGTGATGAATGCTTCTACCAAGATGGTAGCAATGTCAAAGGCACAAAAGGAATATATATCTATATCTATATATATCTATATATAGATATATATCTATATATATCTATATATATCTATATCTATGTATATGTGTGTGTATATATGTATATATATATATATGTATATACACAGATATCTATATATAGATATAGATAGATATGATTTTCTGAAGGTAGAATTAGAAGGACTTGGCATCAGATTGGTTATAGCAGGTGAGGCAGTGAAGTATTGAGAATGACATCTAGGTTGTAAGCCTGGAAAGGTGGTGCTGCTCCCATGGGGAAGTTTGGAGAAAAGATAAAGGGTTCAGTTTTGGACATGTTGAGTCGAAGATGTCTAACAGGTAGTTAGAGCCACAAGTATGAAGATTAAGAGACTGATAGATAACTATAAAAACATTAGCATAAAGATAATTAAATCCATGAGAGGTGATGAGATCACCAAGTGAAATAGTGTAGAAAAAGAGAAGTCCCAGGACAGAGTTGGGGTGGGGGGCAATTTCCTTTAGTAGCCATGACCTGGATGAAGATCTAGCAAAGATACTGAGAAGTAAGGATCAGACAGGTGGGAGGAGAACCAGGATAGAGCAGTGTCATGGAAACCTAGTGAGAACAAAGTATCAAGGAAGAAGAGGACAGATGATCAAGGATGTCAAAGGCTACAACAAGGTCAAGCAGGTTGTAGAGCGAAAAAAGGCCATTAGATATTGCAATTAAGAAATCACGGTAGAGAAAGCGGTCTGGTTGAATGATAAGGTCAGAAGCCCAGACTATTGGGGCAGCTAGGTGGCACAGTGGATAGAGCACTGGCCCTGGATTCAGGAGGACCTGAGTTCAAATGCGGCCTTAGACACATAACAGTTACTAGCTATGTGACCATTGGGCAAGTCACTTAACCCCATTGCCCAACCAAAAAAAAAAACCCAAAAAACAAACAAAAAAAAACCCAGAGTGTAGAGAGATAAGAGGAGAGTGAGGTGAAAGGAAGTGGAGGTAGCAATTATATAGATGGCCTTCTCAGGGCATTTAACAATAAAAGGGAGAAGAGATAGGGGATAGGGATGGACAAGTCAACTAAGGGTCTTGAGGATGGGAGAGAAACATTTGGATGTGTTTGTAGGCAGAAGGGAAGCTTTCAGCTTCCAACTCATTGACCCTCACAGCCCCTGGATCTCTGATTTGGATCCTTTTTATCTTTTAGATTGTTTTGTTTTATTTTTTGTTCTTTGCTTCATGGAACATTCCTGCCTTCCTATCCCCTTACCTCCGGAGTCACTGGAAAGCCTGAAAACATTCTTCAAGGCTTTTTATTCTCCATTCTACCAGGAAGACCCTTAGTGCATAGATAGCTGTTGATTGTCTGTGGTAGAAATGCACATATGGCATAATCTGTCACTGCAATAGTTCCCTCACCCTTTCTACTGGCTAAAGTTGAAAGCTTTTTTTTTTTTTATTTATGGTTTCTCCTGCTTATGCTTGACGCTAATGTGAATGTAAAACTGTGTTTGTTGAAAAAGTAAGTAAGCTTGTGGTCATTTGAAATTTATTTTCATAGCTAATTCTACCCATGAAAAGTCTCACAGCATAGAGGACAGAGCATTTGTGCTGGAGTCAGAAGACCTGTATTCAAATCTTGACCCTTGGTCTTTTATTACTTGTGTGACCATGGGTGAGTCCCTTCATTTCTCAGTATTAGTTATAAGGGAAGATCTAGACAAAACGAAGAAAATAACACAACAACAAAAACCTAAAAAGATAAAAAAGAATTCAAACCAGGGGCCCAGGGCTATGAGGGTCAAGAAGTTGAAGTGAAAGCTTTGCTATTACTTACAAACATGTCTATATCTTCCCCATCCTCCAAAAACCTTCACTTGATCCATCCATCCACCCCCATCCTATATCTCTTGAAGACAGACTCAAAAATGAGAATAGATTCTACTTAATGCACAGGATGGGCATGAGAAAGTCTTTTGCAAATCTTAAAGCACAATACAAATGTGGATTATTATTATGTGGCTCTTCTGGACAACTGAGTTTATAAGACCATGGAACTCTTTCAGTAATGATAAGTTCCCTTCTAGATTGAATAAAGGGCCTTTACCCTGCTTTCATCAGAGTACCCACTGACGTGGGTTCATTTATATTGAACTCTTAACTAATATGGTCTTAGATAGTTTGTCAGATTGCCTCCTTAATAAAATACTGTCAGAGACTCTCCTTGAATTTCCCTTTCAAAATTTGGTCCTTTGTATAGTTTGAAGCCAAAATGAGGGTTGTATCAAATAAGGCAATATTTGTAAAGCACTTAGCACAGTACTTGGCACATAGTAGGAACTGTATATGTAATTAATGATTATAATTATTTCACATAAGAATTTTTGATGATATGTTCTTTACTCTGACTATAAAACAAGGAGGTAAATTTTCAAGTGTGGCATCACAACTGCTTGACCTTTTTATGAAATGAAGAGAGACAAGTAGGAGTTGGCTCTCAGGGTAGAGGGTGGTCTTCAGCTGCTGCAGTTCAGGGTTGGTCTTCTGAGGCATGTTGCTACTGCAGAGTACAGTTGAGTTTTAAATGTCACACAACAAAATGTTCCTTTCCACTCTTTATCAGTAAGAGATTTTTGCCACATTCTAATATTTCATCCAAAATGTTAATTTCTTTTTTTTCTTGAAAGTGCCTGGAGAATTTCACTTCTTTAATTTCATCTCATTACCTTAATTTCATCTTATGTAAATGTCAATTATTACCTCAGCACCTTTTTAAAAAAAATTCAATACAATCCCCATCTCCTTGGGATGCTAATGTCTTCTAGCTATTTGACAAGTTATGGGGTTGCCTAGCTAACTTACCAATACATATATTTACCCCTCCACCTCCAACTAAGCAGCATTTTCTATATTCACAGCTATTCATACTCAGAAAGGAATCTGTCATAATGAATCCTGGGAAAAGAAATGCTCACAAATGAACCTGAATATTCTCATTGGCGAGAAAAAAATAAAATCATTTATTTGTGTTGTGGGAGAGGGAGAAAAGGAAGGAGATGAGAACCCTGACAGTTTTACTATCTTTGTAGTACCACTGATAGGTAAGAGTAGGACCAGAAAACACAGATCTG